CTCGGTACATACGCCCAAGAGTCACTGTCCGGAGGATACCATGTGGTCAGCTGTTTGACCCATTCGGTGATTCTGTGTGGGAATTTGACGCCGTGGGCATATTCGCTGTATAGCGCCGAAAGAGTGACTGCAAGTCCGCTTCTAGTTAAGCTCGTTGGGTTCGAAGCGCCAGATGACCCCGTACCATCGGCGTTGCTCTGAAGTTGTTGACTCAACGTAGCCAAACATCTTCGGACACATTCGGAATTAGGAATCATCTCGATCAGGCCATCCAGATTAAGAAGCTCAAAGGGGCGAGTGAGCCGGGCGTGTCTTTTGGTCAGGTGTCTCATATTCGCCAGGGCAGAACATGATACTTGGCCTTGCATCCTGGTCAACATTTGTTCGGCTTCTTCGACCCCTTTGATGGCGCTTTTCAGCACAAAATTGCAGAGCGCCACGGCTGTTTCGACGATTTCCAGTTGACTGTCCCGATAAACCCGGGCGTTCTGTTGCATTGCATTGGCGGGTTCCAGACCAGCAACGGTTCGTCGGGGATCAGTGGTTCTCAACCGTTCAGCACGAGCATTACATTCTCTCAGAAGTTGGCTCAAGGTCTCCAATATGATGCGGCGGTCCGGAAAGCGAGGCTTGTCTGCGAGACAGTAGCTCATCAACGACTGGTTTCTCGTCACCATGCTCTGCATTTCGCGGTCGTTGGCGCACAGAATGGAAATACTGTCCAACAAGTCAAACGAGAAGAGTGACGATTCCAGCGCGTGGGCTGACGTCGACTCAGGATGTTGGTGGTTGAATAAGAAACATCTCCTCTCAGGATCTGATCTGATGTCCTGTTTCCATGTCCGGCGGGCCACATCCAACGGCGATCCAGGCGGCGCTTTGATGCTGACGACAAGATGATCGAACGGGTTGTTTTGGATCGTGAAGCCATACGCCAGAAGAAGACCCTCGTTGTCTCGGGGACCGTAGTTGTTGCAAAGCTCCTTCCCAGACTCGTAGGTCTCGAGGATCTGTAGCCCGACAAAATGGTACTGGGCTTGCCATTCGACCTGCGCGGCGGGTTTGTGATTGAGGAGGTCGAGGAGTGGAAGTAGCACTGCGAAGCGGTCTCCAAAGAGCTTGACGAGGTCATAAGGCGTTGTTCGGCGATGGATGGTGGCGAGATCCGCGGGACGAGTAGCATCGAGCACCTGTGAGGTGAAGGAACGGCTCCCAAAAATGGTGGCCGCCCAACGGAAGCGAGGCCTAGGTCTTGTGTAAGTGAGAGCGGAGGAGGGAGAAGCAGTTCACGTCCACGTACCATGTGTATGATTCATTCAGCGCATTGGGCCACCCTAGTTCCTTCAAATGGGCCAACCCTTTCAGGTACATGTCTTCCCATTTAGCAGCTTGCGTGGAGAATCCGCCTTTGAGGTTGGTCCCCTCCAGCCACGCCACATCGGCCTCCTCCTCGAATTGCATGGCGCTGATGTCCTCCACCGTGGGCAGTGTCGCAATGTAGGGAGCCCACCAGGACTGCTCGCCAAGGACCAGTTGCTCCATCAGAAAAAAAGCCTGGAGAGACTCGGGTCTCCTGGACTGGGTGTCTAGGAAAGGCCCAGGAAAGCTCGTCCCATGATTTGAAAAGGGGTGGATGTCAAAGGCATTGAGCACTGACAAGGTGATGGGCATCGGGCAACTCGCAACTCGCGTTCCGCTCACGAGGGAATGCCCTTCAGCGACGACAGCATGGTATCCTTTGCGCGAGCTGAAGGCGATCTGAGCGTGCGGGTGCAAGTATCCATCGTTCTCGAGCACCCAATCAACAAGGCGTTGATGGTTGCGAAAAATGTCTGTTTGTGCCGTGTCCTCATCGTTCATGCGCAGCGGAGGTGTAGAACTCTGGGGGATCTTGTCGATGACATCCTGGTTCAAGGTAGTCTCATCGGGCTCCATGTTGTGTGCTCGGCGTATTTGTCTTGACGTCAAAGAAGGCGATATCAAATTGTCTCGGTGTGCGACTTTCCAGCCAAAAATGAAAAAAAATCTTGTCAATCATGAGACAGCAAAAAAGTGAAAAAAATTAAGAAATAAGAAATGTTAATATAACTGTACGTATTTAAGCAGGAAAACACGCTAATAGCAGAAGTGACAGGTGTTTGTGTAACAGCTGAAAAGTGCAAGAGGTCACAATGGAGTGTTTGATTGACGGTGAGCAAATAGATTAGAAGTGAGGCAAAACTGCGCGCAATGGTTGTGTGGTGGCTACAATGAGCGACAAGAGGAAGAACAAGTGACACAACCTTCTTTCTAGCTATTCGCCAGAAGTCTATGATCCACCTTGAGGATGCGACGAGGTGATAGGATGATAGGGATACGTGTAGTTGATGTTGAAGACACAGGGGAATAGAAGTTTTTATATCTGTAGTATACAAGGCACGGACTGGGGTGGGGGATGGAGTGTGCAAGCAAGGCGGCGATGGCAATCAATGGCAATGGCAATGAGAATGAGGAATGAAAGAACAGGAGCTCACAGCATTAATACTGCTATCCAATTCTCGGAAAAAAGTATTGTAGAAGTGATCTGTGTAACATTTATAGACCGTGTTCCAGGGAATGCATATGAGACAAGACAGCCTTGAACCTCTCTCCCTCTACCCACGATCCAGAGAGGTTTAGAGAGTGTCTGGTCCTTTGAATCAAATCCACTATTTCGCCACATGCAGACTGACGGAACCATGCGTGCCATGTTGTTGTCGGGAATCTCCATATAATGTCGCCTTTCTCCAATTTGTAGGAAGAGTGGAAGAGAACCATAGCCGATGCACGAGCGGACAAGTCCTTAGATCTCTTCTTCGCCTCTTGCCCTCGTATCATTCGGAGGAGATGAACCCAATCAACAACCAGCGAGAGGAGAGGAGCGTCCGACAAAACAAAAAGAAAAGAAATAATCATCTTCATGTGTGTCTTGTGTGTTGTAGATGATCAACTAAACTGCCCATGTCCCTTGTCACGTCCTATTTTGACCTTGGTCGGAATCTAGGACTGCGATTGATCACAAGATCATCTCAGGCGTGCACATCCTCTTCATCTCCTATTTCAAGATCCTTTACTTCTTTCAACCCGGGAAGGTCTAACAGGTGGGTGAAGGTTCGGACGATCAGAAAAATGGCTGTAAATGGAACTCACGCGGTGAACGGCATCAATGGCACTCGATCAAAGCATGACATATCTAGCTTGAAAGTCAATCAATCACGATTGATGGACGCCATCCACAGTGGCTGCAAGTATGGCGCTGCTCATCGATATGGAGAGTAAGTGTACAAGTCCCCAACCGCCCGACAGAGGAGTGGTCCTGATCTAGTGCTCTACCAGTGACCCTGTCGAGACTGGAATGGCAAGGCTCAGTCTCAACGATGCGGATAAGGAGGTTCGAGACTGGTTTATGGGTGTCGCCCAGTCCTTGAATTGCAAGATAAGCGTTGACCAAATGGGAAACATGTTCGCTGTGAGGCCAGGAAAGAACTCAAAAGCCCCTCCGATCATGATGGGCTCACATCTCGACACTCAACCGACCGGCGGGAGATATGACGGTATCTTGGGCGTCACCTCTGGGATTGAAGTCCTCAGGGTCTTGCACGAAAACAATGTCGAGACCGAAGGAAGTATTGGAGTGGTGAACTGGACCAACGAAGAGGGAGCGCGCTTTCCCATGATGGCGGTGTCGTCTGGCGTCTGGGCTGAGGCTGTCCCTCTGGAAACAGCTTGGAATCTGCCCGAGGTGTCGCCTGGAGAGGATGGACACCGCAAGACAATGAAGCAAGAACTCGAAAGAATCGGATATCTTGGATCGCAACCCGCATCATACAAAGCATTTCCCATAGCAGCGCACTTCGAAGTCCACATCGAGCAAGGTCCCATATTGGAGGCAGAGAAAAGGAGAGTCGGAGTGGTCAAAGGTCAGTAACTGCTGAACATGTTAGCAGATTCCCGGCCTGACTGTGACAGGGGTGCAAGCGTTCAAATGGTTTGAAATCACGGTCAAGGGCCGAGATACCCACGCCGGAACCACCCCTTTCACTGCTAGGATGGACTCCATGCTATGCGCTGCGAAGCTGATTGTCGAGTCCAACGCCGTTGCAAAGAAACTCGGGGGTCTTGCGACAACTGGCATCCTGAACCAACAACCTGGGTCAATCAACACCATGGCTCACACAGTGACCTTCACGTTGGATATTCGACACACCGAGGACGCCAAACTCGCCGAGATCGAGGAGACATGTCGATCTGCGTTTGCGAGGATCGCAGAGAAAGAGAGCGAGAAAGGCTGCAAAGTGGAATGGAAGGAATTGGTGGATAGTCCAGCAGTCAACTTCCACACCGACTGTATCGCTGCCGTCGAAGCAAGCGCCAAAGAGGTCTGTCAAGACCTTCCCATGACAGCTGACGATGGACAATTGTGGAAATATATGATCAGTGGTGCTGGTCATGACAGCTGTTACACCAACCGTCGGTGTCCCACAAGCATGATCTTCACCGTCACCAAGGACGGAATCAGCCACAATCCAAAGGAATACTGCAGCCCAGAAGACTGGTAAGTCCGTTGTCTTTGCTTCACCTCGTCACTTGCTGACAATCCGCCAGCACCATTGGTGCCCAAGTACTGCTCGGTGCGGTGCTGAGGTATGACAAATTGCGAGCCGACAGAGGAGATCTCGCCTGAAGCCGGACACAGCAGAAAAGGAGACGGTCAAAAGACAGCTTGGAGTGGGGGATCGTGCCGAGTTGTAACATTCTTGAAAAGATATTGCTCTACTGGTTCTGTTGGCCGATCTTGTTGTCCCGAAATTGCCCATAGCCTCGCTCGTAGTGTCCCAGTTGTGCGCCTGTTGTATCAACGAAAATCTGTTATACAGTGTCCTCTATCACTGCCGTGCCCTGCTGAATACAGCTTCCGCCATAAGACGACACAGGTAATTCCAGACTACCGTGAATGCGGAAGGGAGTCCGGTCACTCAGCCTTATCGTCTCGGAGGCTTGACCTTGTCAGCCTTCTTCTCATCCTTAAGGCGCCTCAGTGTCGGACGTCCGACTTTATGCTCTGGCTTCTTCCCGTCCAGTTTTTCAACCTCTTTCTCCCATTTGGTAAAGTAGTATCTCATTTCGTCTTCGCAGTCACGCCTGTCGCTTTCTCTGCATCCTTTGAGATTCACCACCAAATCCCCCTCCTGCCACATGCTGTCGTGAGTGCGTGTGAGTCCCGTCGATGGGTCTTTCGACGGTGGTGTGGCGTAGTTGTAGGAGTTGATCCAGCGTTGCTCGATGAGCACCAGCTTGGCCAAGACTGTGGGGTGCCATTGGACTAGGTGCTCGAGGGCGTGGTTCTCAGCCTTTTGAAATGCATAAGCACGGTATAAAGGATCAAACCAGGCATCCAAGAAGTAATGGGCCCAATTGTCTGGCGTTTTTGTACTGAAGGGGGTATTGCGAAGGATGAACGAAGTATGGGCGAGGTTGTCCATATCTTGAGACAGAATTAGATGTGTGCGAGAAGGCTTGAGATGAGAGAAGGTATGGATAACTGAGTCTGGCGGCACGACAGGAATGTCCTTGAGCATCAACGACTCGAGCGGTTGAAGGACGTGGGATTCTAAGGAGACTGAAGGATTCGTGATGAAGGCGTCGGCGGACAAGGACCAGAAAAAGGTGCTCGTGGCATGCTCAGTCAATGCATGTCGCATTGCTGGTATCATCGACCAGGATAAGGGGGAAGGGTCCACGAGGCTGAAGTAGGTCGTCGTGTTGGTATAGAAGTTCTTGTATCCTGGATCGCAATCAGTTTACCATGTTCCAGTGTCTCCTCCATTCACGCAAGTTTTACCATGTCTCCTGGCGTAATCATCTCGATTTGCCTTGACTATCCGCACATAATCTTCGCTCATTGTCGCATTGTCGAACACCGTGACGATGACAATGTCTTGGGGCCCTTCAATCGACGTTGCACCATCGTTATGTCCTCCTGTTAAATCGAGTGATAGAATGAACCGCACGACAAGGTACACTGTCAATATCCCTAGCACGATGTAGGCGCCCACTTGGAATTGCTTGCGCCGTCTCTGAGCTGCCGCAGTCAAATTACTGTTTCGAACGTAGGGAGGAGGATGGGATGTTTTGCGCGGGGGCAGCGCGAAGTGCATTTTGAGGTGCCTTGGGCCAAATCGAGAGGTGAAGTCTCAAGAAGTTGCTCCGCAGGCCATTGTTCGTGCTCACATAATTGAAGTGAGGTCGCTGCGGCGGAAGAAGTGGTAGGGAGAAGTTCCCAAGGAGTTGGTTCGAGGTACTCGCTCCACATTCTCCGATGCCAGCCTCGTAGCCTCTCAGCCTTGCAGCCCTGCAGCCTTACGACGCCACAACTATCTACATGCGCCCCTTGACAGAGAACTACGAATAATCTGAATTGAATAAACACACAAGACCAATGTTTTCTTGGGTAGCTGACTACAAGAACGAGCCGAATTTGGTTCATCTCTGGGGTAAACTGATCTTGCTCTCTAGATTCCCAGTTAAAGTGAAAGTACTCTGATCACATCTCCTCCCTCTCTGACGCCAGCCCTCAGCTAATTCCCTTCAGCGTCACACCCGTGACTGTCATAAAGTTGCCTCAGCCCATCTGGCATTGCAGAATGTGTGCAGGGCCTGAAATCTCCCTGCTTCCTTCTCGAATCCGGATGGCAGCCTGTATTTGATAATGTCGTTTTGCAAACTGCGAAGGCGCGCTTGATTGGCATCATGGATGTAGCTTCAGGTTATGGACAATTCATGAATTGCCAGATAATCTCCGAATTTGACGTGACTTTGTAATTGATTGTGACGGGCAGCGTGAGATCGGCACCATCGTGGATGTTGAGAAGATGTAGGGTGGCCGGTTCTTGGGTCTGATCGCGTGCGAAATCCGAAGGTGCGTTGAGAATGAACTTGATGTCAAGAGAACCATAGCCCTCAGGGTCTGTTGGCTCGGGAGTCCCAGGACAGGTGTAGACAATATTGACGTTCTTCGATTTCTTGCCATCGTTGGCTGTGTTCGTGATGTACTTGTAGACAAGATTGCAATAGTTACTGGTCTTGGCCTCGTCTCCGCGGTTCTTCACATTGATGTTCGCCTCATACGTCAAACCGCACTCCGGGCCGGCCATGTCAGGGTCGATGTTGAAGGTGAGAAGATCGTCATCGAGTGGGAGATCCAAAATCGTTTCGTTACGGACGACCAGGGCAGCTTCGAGGTGAGCCGGGATTGCGTGGGCCATGAGCAGGAAGGAAGTCATCGTTCCAAGAATGAGCTTTATGTTGACAACCATTCTGGATTCGAGTCCAACGTGGGACTAAGATGAAGGGCGAAGATCGATTCCGTATTGTCTGGTGTGGTCCAGAGGAGGAAGATCTTGCATGGGCCACGAGAAATTTGTACTCACAGATTGCACATTGAAGTGAAGCGTTTTCACTTCACTCGACGGAGACTCAGTCTGCTTGGTGAGACATTGCCATCTCAAGAGATTCAGTATTAGACGCAGCCGTTTTTCAACCTCGATCGTAGCTCTGTTACAACTTCTGGCGCTCAGTCTCTCTTCTTGCTTCAAGAAACATTAACTCGATTTCTCATGCTTTACCAGATACCTGGAAGCATGGTAAACTTCTTCTTCTTGTATTTGTCACCGAACTCCTTGCGGTATCGTCGCTCCTTCTTTGCTGCCCATTGCCCCATCTGGACAACGGAGACAATAAGAAAGATGAGTACTCCCCAACTGAGACCACTTAGAAGGTAAACCCCAAGCCAAGAGGCAGTCTCCGTCATATAGTTGGGGCAGGTCACGAGATTGAACAAGAACCCTTGGGGGATGCCTCGTTCAGTCCCGCCCGAGCTTCGGAGCCCTTTCAAGATGAGATGTGTTTGAAGGTTCCCCAGTTCCCCAAGGAGGAAGATGATCATCCCGGGATAAAATAGTAGTGGGTTCGGCTCTTGTGCTGCTGCCGAGTATGGGGAATAGATGAACAATGCGATCATGAGGCCGGAGAGGATCCAGTAATGAAAACTGTTCTTGAAGATATTGCGGAGAGGCATGGTAGCAGCCGAGAAGCGATGAACAAACAACGTCTCCAGCTCCCGCTTGACGAAGTGCAAGCATATCAGCACACAGAGCACTTGTTGTAACTGCGACGACTCCTTGCTGGCAGATGGGTAGATGTACGGTCGTAGGAAAAGTATCACCGGATGTATCAGGATCGGCCCAGCATACTCCACCAGGAAGACCGTGCGCCATGCTATCTGTGTCCCGAGGTCTTTTACATGAATTGTGCTCTGGTCACGTAGCCCGGTCTGGTATATCGAGGTGTCCTTTGAGTTGGCCACAACGGTGCCATCGGAGCCCTTGGTCACGCGCAGCTGGTGAATCGAGTATTTGGTTCTGCGTGCAAGTTCAGAATACAAGTCGGCTGCGGAGGCGTCGGGTTTCAGATCGAGGGACTCCGGCAGGGATTTGATGGGTTTCCCTACAAAATTGTGAGCAGGGATGCTGTCGAGGGGCAAGGGTCGGAAGTTTCTGTTCATGTCTTGGTGTCAACCAAATTTGCTTACCTCGAGGGCGTATTTGAAGTGTGATGGGTTTCGACGCCATGTTGGGCGGCTGAGTTCCTGCGGCTGAGGGGACACGAGTCTTGGAAGGGCACCAAAGACGACGGGAGAGGACGACGGATGTGAAGGAGAAGCGACTTCAAGGAGACAAGCTGATTGCCATCGAATCACAGTCGCAAGGGAAATGCTGTTGCGGGTTGCGGCTTGCTGGTGGCAGATATTGTGGCATTCGAAAAATAAAGGCTGCGCGTTCAACAAACTAATGCGACTCTGGCATCTGGAGCTCTGATTTCCAACAGCAGCCGTCCATTGGATGAATCCCCCTTTTACGGCCCCGCTTTCCCCTTTTGACGGTTTTGCTTCTCAATGCGGCGCTATTCTTGTTGTGGCGGCTTCCTGGACCCTTTGGTTCCTTGGTTTCCTTACAGCCCGTTCAGCCGTACAAGGGGCTGGCTGGGAATGTGATCATGAGTACAAGTATGGAGTATGGACCAGAGAAAAGTATTATTATAAGCGCTGCTCTTCCTTCTGCGCTGACCCGCCTCCTCTTCTGCTGATGGGACCGAGTAAGCAGATCAATGATCAGCCAGTATATCACCTAGGGGGTATATCACAATTGTCCTCAGCCTCATCTCCGATCCTGTTCCTTGCTTGGATTCTTTTGGGTATAATTGCTCTACGGCTAGTCGTAACTTGTCGACGTCTGTCACCCAGAGGCTTTCAACATGCCATTGAGCTTGTCAAAACTGAAGGGTATGCTATGCATCCCTGAAAGCTCTGACAAATACTCAAAGGATGTAGGATTCAAGCCCGCCAAGGGGTCTCAGCCTGATAAGACGCCCGTTGTCGAAGAGCGACCTCGTACGAGCGACTCTAGCAGCTCTGCATCGACCAGTGAAACCAAGAGGTCAGACCAGATCTTGGATGTGCTCAAGACCTTCAACTTGAAGAATCTCAGGACCGTCAAAGATGTCGCCTTACAGCAAATTGACGGCGAGCCTATCGACGACAAGACATACCTTATGGAACGAATCATTCAACTAGTCGCGGATCTTCCTATTTCCAGCAGAACCAGCGCTACTCTGACCAATGCGTTCCTGAACCAGCTGTGGACAGACCTGAAACATCCACCTCAATCATATCTGGGAGCCGATTACATCTATCGCAAGGCGGATGGGACCAACAACAATATTCTTTGGCCGCATCTTGGGGCTGCAGGGCAGCCATATGCGCGAACAGTGCGTCCTCGGTTGATGCAGCCCGTTGCCAGGCCGGATCCTGGAGTCATCTTCGACAGTCTTCTGGCTCGCAAGCAGTTCAGGCCTCATCCCAACAAGATATCGAGCGTACTCTTCTATGTGGCCTCGATCATCATCCACGACATCTTTCACACAAATCACGATGACTATAGCATTTCTGATACTTCTTCCTACCTCGATTTGGCTCCTCTTTATGGCAATTCTGCAAAGGACCAGGAGGCTGTTCGGACCATGCAGGGTGGAAAGCTGAAACCTGACTGTTTCTCAGATGTGCGGATTCTGGGCTTTCCTCCTGGCGTCGGCGTCCTTCTCATCATGTTCAATCGCTTTCACAATCACATAGCAGAGAATCTTGCTCGCATCGACGAAAATGGCCGCTTCTCGAGGATTCTCAATCCACAAGGCAAGCCGAAGCCGCCTAACGCCGACAAGTTATATGATGAAGCATTGTTCCAGACGGCACGGTTGATCACCACTGGCCTCTACATCAACATTATCTTGAAAGACTACGTCAGAACAATTTTGAATCTGAATCGAGTAGACTCGTTGTGGAACCTCGACCCGAGATCTGAGGAAGGCAACGCTATCTTTGGCCATAAGATTCCGGAAGCCACTGGGAATTCTGTATCGGCGGAATTTAATCTGGTCTACCGATGGCACTCCTGTGTCTCTGAGAGGGACGAACAGTGGACCAAGGAAGCTTACACCAAGCTATTCGGGCATCAATCATCGCTGTCCATGGGTCAGTTCCTCGGTGCACTCAATGATTGGGCCAAGAAGCTGAGCCCGGATCCGGCCAGGCGAGAGTTTGCAGGTCTTCAGCGCCGACCTGACAACAAGTACCCCGACGAAGAGCTGGCAGCTATCTGGACTGCATCTGTCTCGGACGTAGCGGGTAGTTATGGTGCCCTCCATGTGCCTGAGATCCTGAAGAATGTGGAAGTGTTGGGTATTATTCAAAGTCGTTCTTGGAATCTGGCAAGCTTGAACGAGTTTCGAGAATACTTCAAGCTCGAGCCCCATAAGACGTTCGAAGATATCAATCCCGACCCTTTCGTCGTCGACCAGCTGCGTCGACTTTACGGCCACCCGGATAATGTCGAAATATACCCCGGCGTAGTCATCGAAGCGGCCAAGGAGCCCAAACTCCCTGGCAGCGGTTTGTGTACAAATTTCACCACCTCGCGAGCAATTCTTTCAGACGCTGTTGCGTTGGTTCGAGGAGACCGTTTCTATACCATTGACTATACCCCTGCCAATCTGACGAACTGGGGATTCAAACAGGCAGACTATGACTTGGCCATAAACAACGGATGTGTGTTTTATAAGTTGGTGTTGACTGCCTTACCCAACAGCTATCGGCAGGATTCAGTGTACGCGCACTACCCGCTGGTGATTCCGGAGGAAAATAAAGCGATCATGACCAAGCTGAAGAAGGCAGATTTGTACAGTTTCGACAAGCCAGATAATCTTCCTGCTGCCGTTGCCGTTAGCTCTTCCTCAGCTTGCAGGACTGTCGTGAGGAGTACGTCTGGTTTCCGTTCATCTTGGGACATGCAACTCTTCTCCTCTGGGCAGGAACTTCAGCATCATCGCGAAAAGGGTCTGATTGTCGCCCACAAGCTGCTCCAGACGGAAGGACTGCAGGCTGCGGCAGACGCCTTCTACAAGGACGTCATCACTGCTCTGGTCCGGAAGAGTGCGTATCAGCTCGCAGGCTGTCAGCAGGTTGACGTCGTTCGGGATGTTTTCAATGTTGCTCATGCGCAGTTCGCCGCAAACCTCTTCCTTCTGCCCTTAGGAGGTAAGGGGAAATCTCACGACAAATACGATGAACATGATCTTATTGCCCTTCTTTCCGCCATCTATGGTTGTGCAAATGTGAAGCAACCTGATAGGCGTTTTGCTTTGATCAAGAAGAAACGAAAGGCGATTCTGCAGCTCGCAGGGCGCTTGCAAGCGGAAGTGAGCAACGGCATCAAGGGTAATTTCAGCCTACACTCGCACTCGCCGGTACAGATTCGAAGCCTTGCAGCGCAGGCGATTCAGGAAGCCTCGAAGACTGGACTATCCTCGGCAGATATCGTGTGGACTCAACTGCTCCCGTTGGCAGCTTGGGTTTTCGTCAATCAGTCGCGAGTCTTTGCTGAGGTGCTCGATCACATTCTCGGCGCAAGAGACAGGAAACCAAGCATCGTGGAGCTGAAGCGGATGCTAGATCAAGAGGGCCCATTATCGAGTAAGGCTGAGACCTACTTTCGCGAGATCTGTAGCGGTCGACCAGCTACCCCCATCTTCAGAGAGGCGACATCTTCGCAAATTGTGATCGACGGAGGGAAACAGCTTCAGGTGTCTGCAGGGCAGCGTATTCTCTGTGACACAGACAAGGTAAGTTAGGCTTTGCTTCAGCGAGAATGATGGCGCTAACTGCAAATGACAGGCTGCGGTGCATTGTGACAGCACCAAGTTATCTGATGCTGGACCAGGCCAGTCCCAGGATCCGCAGACCTCATCTGGAGACGAGGTTTCTCTTGGAGCTCGACTGAGCCTTGCATCGTTGGGATCGACCATGTCCGTTCTTTGCGGGCTTGAAGGGTTGACCAGAGCCGTAGGACCAACAGGCCAGCTTCGGCAACTGAACGAGGGTGACGTGGTAAACTATCTGAATGTCGAGGAGAGCATGGTACAGTCATACCCGGCGGCCTTGACGATCAAATGGCAAGGATGAAGAGAATAGAGCTTGAGCCAGGGCTTGGTTGGATAGCTAGAAATACTTCGGAATGAGTGAAGCCAAACGGCTGCCTGTGGTGCTGAAGGTTTTGTAGCCTGACTGGGCGCTGTGGGCGTCTACTGGCCCCTCCTCAACCCCCCGGAAGACCCAGCCATTGGCAGATGCGGCTAGTACCTTGAGGGGAAGCGGCACGTCATTTCCCACTAGGGCCTCCAGGCCCAAGCGCGTCTAAAGTCAAGTAGTCGCCCGAACCATCTTCACTTGCCAGAAAGTGCGGCAGCACCCAAGCAGGCAGTGAAGCGCAGCACAAAAGAATCGACGCCACAAGACAGACAAGTTTCGGTTTTCATCTCTCCATCACCCCCAGTTGAGGCCTGCTTTACAACAAATCCTCATTCTTTTGTTTCAACGTCTTGCGTCCTTGCTCTCTGTACACTACTTTTACCTATTAATTTCGTCCTTGATTTCATCCTTGGAGAGGCCAGCTACTGGCCTGCGTCAGGGCATAGGTGATTGCGGCTTCATAATTCGCAACACCCTTGAACTTTCAACGAAACTTCAAGCACTCTTTCGCACACAAATTCTCCTGCCGATTCAGAACAATCGCCTCTTCTTCTCTTCCTCACCGGAATTCAACAAACCCGCTCTTCCTGCCCGTATTGCTGTGCCAGCAATCCTGCCTCCCCAATATCGTGATCTTGGTCTCTCATCTGGAGATCAACTCTCGCAAGGCTGAACACAACCTCACTTTCTGATGCAACCTATGGTGCCGATTCACGGGGCTTAGTGAAGATGGGGAAGGTTACGAGGAAGCCGCAGGAGAAGCACAAAGCGTCGTTGGTGAGTTTGTTCCTGCTGCTCCATATATTGGGTGGACAAGGCTGATGTGACTGCGACAGTCCCCTGCGGTAACAGATCTGGTCAAGCAGGTTTCGACAGTGCCCTTGGTCGACCTTCCGGGTGTCTTGGCTGCCTGGTCGCCGAGATGGCCTTATCCCCGTGGCGATCTCAACAACTGGATCGAACCTCTCGACCGTTTTGACAGCATCCTCCAGTCCTTCAACTCGAGATATGGCTTGGACAAAGGCCCTCAGACAATACCCTTCAACTCATCACTGTTACTCGAGGGGAGCCCTGGGGTCGATGAGCAGGGTTTGAAAGAGAGAGGATTTGGTCCAGAGGGTGATAGAGAACTGGTCGAATCGGTTCTGGCCTTTTCGAAACTTCTGGTTGAAAAATGTGCAAACCGCGCAGTCTACAATAGCACAGACCGCTTGAATGACTTGTTACATACCACATCGCTCTCCCTACTGCACAGCACTCTGCAAATCACCTTCTTCCTAGCGCAGCGGTACGGAGGCATTCGCCCCTCTCATGGGCCAAAATTTTATGATTTTGATTTTGAGCGTATCGAGAGACTGGCTTCGCCTTTCGGGCCACTTCCAGCGAATGCTAAACGTGGACCACCATCTCCAGTCAAGACCAAGTCCAAAGAGAAAGTTCAGCACAACGGCAGCAAACCGAGGCGTGGCTCCACTGCATTCAATCCAAACGACTTTCGTGCCCTCTGCAAGGAATCCCCACAGCATGGCGACCGCGGGAAATCTTCATCAGCCGGACTTGATCGAGATTGGTCTGCATGGGCTCACCACGTCAGAGTCTGGTGGGAAACCTCAGGCTCCGAACCCGAGGCTGCCTCTGTTGAAGCCTCGCAATCGTTAGAAACCTCACCCACCCCGACACGCAGCCGACCATTGTCGACGGGCCCTGGCACGGCAAATACCAACGGCTCTTCCAATGACATTGGCAGTAGTAGAATTATCCATGCACCAGGTGAAAAAGAGAAGAGTGTGAAGATACTCGAATTCTCTCCCTCGGATCTATCAGCCACCACTATTGAGACGATCTTGCACAACCACCTGGCTGACGACATGCCGCCCAAGGTTCGATACGAGCTGCTGCACCAGCTTCGTGTTGCCTATGCTTTGATCACCTCCTCGAGTAGTCGCAAGGAGCTGTTAGCAGTGCGGCTCTTGTCCATCGCTAGTCTGGCCAATGTCTTTGGCGAACCAGACCTCACTCAGAAACTGTTCTCGGAGGAGAAGCCTCAGGAATTCATCCAGCAAGTTGTGGGTCTTCTTCATGACACAAAGAAGTCCCACCCTAGTGTGCCCATCTATCTTCAAACTCTGGCCATGGAGACAATGTCGTTCCTGGCACACTCGAAATCTTTCGCTTCCGAGATTCATGCTGCATTGGGTGCAGGATCAAGCCAGGGGCTCCTTTCTCAACTGATACAAAAGGGCCTGAGTGATATTGCTCAGGAGCATGACCATACAGATGACGTGTTTGGGGACGATTGGAGAGACGCGATCTTTTCGTTGCCGAGGACGCTCATTGAGGTTACTGGTCACCACGGACGCTCTAGCGAGGCGGTGATAGCTTCGAGCTTTATCACCTCATACCTTACCGGCTTCAGTATTACAACCGCCAAAGCCATGAGGGTCCACCTGCGGATGCTTGACTTTATCAAGACGTTCTTCCATCACTTCAAAGATGGTCTCGCCACTTTGTTAAGTAACAATGCTTTTGAGGCTATCTGCAATCTCTTGAGCACTCTTGTGACAAGTGCTTGGGATCTTCTCCAGGCAGGCCAAGGGATACCGGCTCAGCATAAGACGCGGGCTACGGACTACGAAATCCCTTATATGCATCAGCAAATAATCCGATCCATCATTGACATGATCAACGATATCAGCGGTCATCAGGGTCAGCAGGCTGATCGAGTGCTGAGAAGCCTGGTCGACTCTCAGGCTTTGCTCCGTGCCTTTCGGCTCATTGTCGACCATCTGACTGCTTTCGGTGCGCACACATGGAGCGAAGTCATCAAGGCCATCTGGGGATTTCTCCACAACGAGCCCACAAGCTATGCAGTGATATCCGAAGCAGGTATTATTCAGAGCATTCTAAACACAGTCAATCCGTCACCAAACCCGTCAGAAACTCCAGCGAATCAGAAGCGGTCAAATTCAATATCGTCGGTCCCTGAAAATCGACCACAAGGTATTCCACCCGTGGTTGATGCAATTGTCAATGTCTCTCAGGTATTCGGCGCCATTTGTCTTACGAGTGCTGGTTTCGACCTGTTCAAATCCTCCGGTGCTCTGGAGAAGTTCTTCGAGATCTTCGAGTCACCTGCCCATGTGAAGGTCCTCAACGATGCAAGCATGCTGGCTATGCTTGGTTCGACATTCGATGAGCTCATCAGACATCATCCAAACTTGCGGACTTCCGTTTTGAGTGCGGTGATGATAATGCTTGGTCGCGTGCGTCATATAGGCAGGTCGCTCTCCGTCAACTTTGGTGCAGGAGCAAAGCTGTGGCTTGGTACAGAGGATGAACTTGTTCCCTGCGGTGGACGCGAGGCCCTGTCATTGGAGATTCTACCAGCAGTTTCAAGCAATGCTGATGAACCCATTCCTGCCAGAAAGATTGACCTGCCGAATGGTGACAAATTGATTCTGGAGGATGAGATGCTTCCCCCGAGCACTGTTACCGGAAGACCGAGCGATCAAGATGGCAATGGGCTGAAAGCTAGTGACTACGTGAGACCTGCGATTGCGTTCTTGATGGCTTTCTTCGAGCACCAGGCTCATTGCACTAGCTTTTTGGACCATGGTGGCTGTGACCTTGTCTTGGACTTCATCACATTGCCCAGCCTGCCGGTTGCAACACAACCCTTTGACCGACACGGTGGAATGTTCCAAGAGCTGGCCGCGGCAGTTCACATGATGGCGGAGACCAAACCGCACATTGTACTTCCAGCACTTGTCGACCGCGCGCGTTTTGCTTGTTCGGAGCTAAAGCACTTCAGCCAATGTCAGCCAACCGACTGGTCTTGTTATTTTGGCCCTCTAGTGAAAGCCGCGCCAGGTACCACCGGGACAGGCAAGGGCCCTGCTCCGCAGCTGTCAGACGTGGAGTTAAATGGAACTCGCCTAGTCAGAAGCATGATGGCGGTCTTTTGTCTGGCGCAGGTGCTAAGCGAGATCTTCAACATTCCGATTTATAACCAGAGACACATGCATAACTTCCTGTTCGGGTCAGTGAACCTAGAGGATGTTTTAGCCGACATTGCTCAAATGATGGGAGCGATATCAGCTGCCTGTTGTCGCGAGGATGTCGCGCTCCAGCGCTCAATCCCCGAATCCTGGATCTCGGCAACACGCCCAGAACACTTCTCGACTGGTGACGATGAAGTCGATAAACTTTTGAGTGTTCGCGACATCACGTCTCGCCATACAGGGCTTTCGACACCTGAAACTGGCGAGAATAAAGCAATCTCTGGGTCAGACTCCGCTACACTGAGTAAGGATCGACAAACACCATTCTTCAAGAACGTCCAGACTCTACGCTTTCTCTTGATCGAAACTCCTGCCGCCATCACCGATTTCCTGTGTCGACTTGGCCGCAACATCGCTGGCCGGCGTCGCCCAGACACCTTCTCCAAACAGAAGACGTCCTTAGTGGCAAATGCTCTCGCCTCCGCCTATTTGGCACAACTTCGACCATACTTCCTCAATCCGAAATCTCCGCAAAACGGTGGCGCCGAGGATACCGAACCCCGCTTTACTTATCTTGTGATCGCTCTAGATAACGTCCGGGGCAGCTTCTACGACGACAGCAGTTCGTCATCAGGGCCCATCGCGACACATCCAGCCCGTCAAGGTTTTGTCGTCGAGGCGTTTCGCAAGGCTGGCGGTATCAAAACTCTGACGGAGATCGGCACAGAGTTTTTCGACAAATTGAAGTCCTGCAAAGTGGAGCATGCCATTTTCTCTGCCAATACGGGTCTCAAAATCTGTCTCGATATCCTGGAGGTATTCACCGATTCAAAATGCATCATGGAATCGGCACAGTCGAACAACATGAAGACTATAGACCCTTCGAGACAATACTACTTTGTTCCTGCTCAAGTATTACTCAACTTACGGATGGAAGCACTTCCGCTCGCGCGATTGATATGGGCGAGTGAATACGCGGACCAAGCATCCAAAGACGTTGTGCAGAAGCTGATCTCGATCTTGAAGCATGTATTCACTGGTGACCATGAGATGGAAGCAGTGCAGTCTGACGGTGGCCACCCTACTCTTGCACCCTTTGTGCCAAAGCGACCGGAGTTTGACCCTTCAAAGGTCAACACTTTGAAAGAGAAAGGCTACAGTGAGGATCTCGTACGCGAGGCTCTTTACCGCTCCAATTCGCAAGCGCCAAATACCTACACGCCAGCTGAAGAGTACTGCCGAGCACTTTTAGCCAATCCTCGCCGGAGGCGACTGCCAGCCCCTGAGAGAGACAGCGACACTGCGACTGCTCCTAGCAATATTTCTGGCGCTGTGACTCCGCCGGCAAACTCAAATTCATCTTCTGGTTGGGTCTCGCTGGGCACGATTCACACTCTACTTCCGAATGCACATCAAGCGCCAGACGACAACGAGATGGAAGACGTCACCACCTCTAGTCAAAACACTTCCGCGTCGAGACCTGCGGATAATGCCACGACGAGCGTTTCTTCCGCCATGGACATCAGTAACCTTCTCAATAGTGACACTGAACCTGAACCCGTGGTACCACAACCTTCCGAGGCAGATCTGCCACGGAATTACTCTGTCCAATCGATCAACGAACAGAGGGCACTCATCAGAGAGGACCTGGCTGAGCGGTGCAATAATATTCTCGACAATCACCCGAACTTGACCTTCGAGCTGTCTGACTTGATCATGAGTGCAACAAAGAAATTGGGCGAAGATCAAGCCAATGAGTTTTGGAGAACTACCTTGGATCTTCTGACTAGTTCACTACTATCGATGCAAGACGAAGATGATATTAACGAATCCCGCGGAAAGAAAATCGCCGCCGCAGCACACCTGGTAGCTCTCCTTATCCAGGATGGAGAAGTGTTCAAAGAGACACTCAATATATTCCAGGACTCGTTCGAAGGCATCCTTTCGTTTTTACAACTTCCGGCAGCGGATGGACGGGCTGATGAAGGCTCCTTTCCATGGGTTGCGCCTATCTTGCTGATTATTGAGAAGATGCTGTCCAAGGACTGTGAGCCGGCAGTAGTCAAGTGGGATAACCCGACGGACCTTGATTCTGTCACAAAGGCTGTGCTGACACCGGTTGCTGTGTTCGATATGGATGACAAACTGAAGCTCTTCGAAGCACTCGTGAACCTGCTTCCTCGCGTTGGCAAAGACAAAGGCATGGCTTTAGCCATCACTAGAGTTCTAGTTCCTCTTACAAGAACTCGAGAAGTTGCCAGCAGGTTGGCTGAGAAACGGAACCTTCAGAGACTCTTCCTCATGGTCAAGCAACTTACCAATGGGGTGGGACATCGCCTACAAAGCTGCTTCATGCTCATTCTGCGACACATTGTCGAGGACGACGCAACCCTGAAACAAATCATGCGCAGTGAGATAAAGCTTCTATTCCACTCTCGCAGCACGGCACGGCAACCAGACACAAACAGTTACATTCGTGAGCTGTACCATCTTGTCCTGCGATCGCCATCTGTCTTCGTCGAGACGACAAATGAGCTTGTCAAATTGTCTTCGTGGCAGCCGCATGCTACAGGTGTGGCTGCTCTGGTATTGAAGGATACTCTAGTGCTGAAGGAGACCAGTGGGTCCAAGGCAACCGACCAAGACGAAGGTGCCCAAAGTCAACCAAACGAAGACAGCACAGTGGATGGCACGCAGCCAGCAGCCAGCGTTGAAAACGCGCCAAATCCCAACGAAGAGGGTAGCAAAGGCAAGGTGCCCGAATTGAAGCCTCCAACTGTCGAGCATCCGGATGGAGTCATTCACTTCATTCTATCTGAATTGTTGAATTACAAGGATGTTGAGGATAAAGATCCCCCTGCCCAGGTTTCGGGCACTCCAACTGTGAATGGAACGTCAAATCTTAACCAACACACCGTTACAGCAAGTTCGTCTGAAGGCCCTGCCATTGACGGTTCGCAGCCGAAATCTGAGAAGGCAAAGTTCAAGCCCGAGGAGCACCCAATCTTTTCCTACCGCTGTTTCTTGATGTACAATCTGACCGAACTTCTGCACTCTTATAACCGCGCAAAGATTGAGTTCATCAATTTCTCTCGCAAGGCTGACCCAATGGCGGGTACGCCATCGAAGCCACGTTCTGGGATTCTCAACTACTTCCTCACCGGACTGATTCCATCCTGTTATGTGGACAAGGAAGATTCTCTCCAATTCAAGAAGAAATTGCTCACAAGTGATTGGGCTATCCGAGTGATTGTTGCCCTGTGTTCTAAGACAGGGGAAGCGGGTATGACTGTTACTGCGCAACGATACTCCACACAGCCACAAATCGAGGACGTTGACGACGAACCAGACCTGACATTCGTGCGCCGCTTTGTCCTCGAGCACGCCATCAAAGCGTACAAGGATGCCATTTCTTCGAACGAACCACTTCAGATGAAGTACAGTCGATTGCTGTGTCTCGCTGACATGTTCAATCGTCTCTTGACAAAGCCCTCCGTCCCAGAAGGCTCTGCTGGCTCCCAGAATACTTCCTACAAAGTCCTTTCCAGGATGATGTTTGAGAAGAATCTTATCTCAGTCTTGACCAGTTCGCTCACAGAAATCGATCTTGCATACCCTGGCTCCAAGAGAGTGATTAAGTTCATCCTGCGCCCACTACAGGAGCTCACCACATTAGCAACCCAACTAAGCGTCACGTCGCCGGACCTTTTGAACTCCGTGGTGGGAAACATGCCTGAAGACGTCATTTCGTCTGCCTCGTCGGTATCGGATGTTGATGAAGAGCGGGAAGAAACACCTGATCTTTTCCGAAATTCTGCGCTCGGTTTGCTGGATCCTAATCGGGATCCTGGCTCGGACTCTGCGACGGATGAAGAAGATGAAGACGAGGAGATGTATGACGATGCGTATGAGGACGAAATGGAGTACGATGACGGCATGGTTGCCGGTCCGAACGACGACGAAGCAGTCAGCGATGAAGAAGAAGGTGAAATGGGGCCAGATGGTGAAATAGAGGGCCTTCCAGGTGATGTACCAATGGACATCGAATTCGTTGTGAACGATCCTCACATGGATGTCGACTCAGATGAAGATGAAGATGATGAGGATGACGACGAGTCCGACGAAGACGACGAGGACGACGACGATGACGACGACGGCGAAGACTTTGAAATTGGTGAAGACGACGATGCCGGTGAAATCAACGCTGATGACGAAAACAACAGTCTCAATGAAGGGCCCGAGGACGAGGAAGGCGAATGGGAAGACGAAGATGAAGACGAAGACGACGACGATGACGGCGATGAGGCAGAAAATGCTGGTGGACGACATCGCATCGCTGGGTTCGATCACGATGAGTTTTCCTTCCCTGGAGGTATGATGCCCGTTGCTGTAGTACAGGGTCACGACAATGGCCCGCCCGCGTCGGCAGGTGTCCTCAGCAACTTGCTTCGGGTCTTGGGTGACCACGACCTTGATGGTTCGATGGGCGATCGGTCAGAAGATAGGTCTCCGCCACTCAGGATAACCGCCCGTCGTAGTCGTCCTTCAATCGATCCAGGCGTCGTTCCACCTCCAGGAATAACTTTTCCAGAGGAAGAGGACGATGATGATGAGGACGAGGACGACGAGGACGAAGACGATGAAGATGGCGACGATATGGACGAGAATGACGGATTGGAGTACGGTGACTTTGATCACTTACTTGGTGGTGCCCGTGAGATCATCGACCACACCCATTTGACATGGGACCATCCGCCTCTTATGCGGCGGCATCGTCCACTTGCTGGCTCGGTCTGGAATTCCCTTACTAGGCGGATTGAAGGCCGTGACGATCTGAATCCACCAGGCCGCTCGGGCCGTATATCGGGACATGTGAGGTCTGGCGATGATGGCACAAACCCTCTGTTACGAAGGCCTCAACCAGAGTCTCGACAGAGAACAGAGCACCTTGGTACCAGCATTTTCTTCCCGTCCGCGATGCAGATACCAGGGATCCCTCCCTTCCATCAACCTATTCAAGCAACCCTCCATGCGGTTGATCCACGCGGAATAGGCGGACATGGAGCTGTACTTGACGCCATTTTCTCGGCTCTTCAGCGTGGCGAGATAGGCGAAGGACAGGTTCGGCTTCGCATTCCCGCTCCTCTTACAGATTTCCGCGATCCCTGGCGATCATCTGGGTGGGATCCCCGCCATCACCGTCATGCTTCCCGCGAAGACTCCCAGCGCGGTAACAACTTTGTTCCCTCACCGACTATGGCACGTTGGCAAGAGGAAGTACGACTTCTCTATGGCACTACCTATATAGAGAAGATCCAGAGGGTTCAATTGTGGCTCATGTCGGTCATGGTTCCCTTCGCTCAGCAAGAGGAAAAAGAACTCAAACGGAAGCGAGAACAGGAGCAGAAGGCAGAACGGGAAGAAATGGAAAGATTGAAGGTGGAAGCAGAACGTCGCAAGAAAGAGGCTGAGGAACGCGAAGAAGAGCGTTTGCGGGTTGAGGCCGAAATCGCTGCAGCTGTCGAAGCTGATGCCCAAGAAGAGGATGTTGAGCATGAAGTTGGTGACACTGTTCCTATGGAGGATGTACAAGATACGGAAGTATCGAACGCGCAAGAAACCCCTGACAACGCGGCTTCGACTTCGACAACGACTGAAGCGCAGCCGCGTGTTTTCACTACCATTCGAGGCCGGCAAATCGACATCACAGGGCTTGCGATTGATATTGAGTATTTGGAAGCCCTACCAGAAGAACTCCGCGAAGAGGTCATCATGCAGCAGTATGCTACTCGCCGTGAAGAAGCTCGTCAAGAAGGGGCTAGTACGTCTGGCATTGATCCAGACTTCCTCAACGCTCTCCCAGAAGAGATCCGAGAAGAGATACGGCAACAGGAAGCCCATGCACAACGCCGACGGGAGCGTGAAGAAGCTCGCAGACAAGCTGCAGCCAACGGAGGACACGCGCAGGCGGAAGACATGGACAACGATAACTTCTTGGCCACCCTTGATCCTGCATTCCGTCGTGTGATATTAGCAGAACAGCCCCCGGAGGTCTTGCGTCAGCTTGATCCTCGTCACGCTGCAGAAGGTCGGGCACATGCCAGACGTCTGTATCAATATGTCCGGAATGATGGAGACGGGCGTGACGATCGACACGGCGAAGACGCAGGTCAACGCGACGGCAAGCGGCAGATTATTCAGATGGTTGAGAAGTCTGGAGTGGCAACTTTGTTGCGACTCATGTTCTTACCACAACAAGGTTCGCTTCGCACAAATCTATGGCATGTCCTACGCAATATCTGCGGCAACCGACAAACTCGATCCGAAGTCGTCAATCTCTTACTCCTCATTCTCAAAGAAGGTTCAACGGATGTGTCGGCTGTTGAGCGCAGTCTAGCCAATTTATCCTTGAGAGCAAAAGCCACTGTTGGCCAGAAGACGCCTCAGCCACTCAAACGTACGCTCTCGCTGCAGCCTGCAGGTGGCATTAGCAATGAGGTCACCCCTCTTGTGGTCGTGCAGCAGTGTCTTTCCGCCCTGAGACAGCTTTGCCAGAGCAATTACCACACTCGGACTATCTTTATCCGGGAAAGTGACGCCAGTCTGGCCTCCAAGAAGGGTAAAGGAAAAGCCAAGGAGGTCAAGGCAGCCAGATATCCTATCAACGATCTAATCAGCCTCCTCGACCGCAAACTGATCGTGGAAAGTTCGTCGTGCCTTCAATCACTTGCTGAGCTTTTATCGGCCGTGACTCAGCCTTTGCCGAATCTTTTGAAGAAGGACAAGGAGAAGGTCGCCGACGAAGAGAAGCCGACTGAGCCTGAGGGCAGGACCACAGAGGAAGCAATTTCCGCCAGTGCATCGACTGAAGCAGCTCAACCAGCTCGAATAGATGCCGATGTCGAGATTCAAGATGCTCCGGCTCCTGTTGCTACCAACGAAGCGACTGAAGCTTCTGCAAGTGTGGCTGAACAACCCGAGACTGCTGAGACTGGCACGAATGACAATGCAGAAATTAGCAATGACGACTTGACGACCGAAGGCGCCAAATCAAAGAAGGCTTTCGAACCGCCCGAGGTTTCAGAACACAATTTACAACTCGTTGTGAGCATCTTCGTTGCTCCGGAATGCAATAGCGACACGTTCCACTCTACCTTGGAGACGCTGTCGAGCCTGTCATGCATTCCCGGTACCTCGGCCGTCTTTAGCAAGGAGTTGATTCATCACATCAAAGAACTTTCGGAATCCATCTGCAAAGACCTAGAGGAGCTGATTCCACAACTCAAAGAAGCGCAGTCGATCACTGACCTCCACGTGCTCTCGTCGACAAAATTCTCCCATGGTGGTTCCGACCAAGTCAAGCTATTGCGAGTTCTCCAGGCATTGGACTATCTATCCGCGCCTAAGGCGGAGAATGAAGAACCCGAGGGAAATGCGGTGGCAAAGAGCATCCTTACTTCTTCGTACGAAAGCCTTGCACTTAGACCGCTGTGGAGCAAACTGAGTGAATGTTTAACAACGGTCCGCGAAAAGGACAACATTACCACCTTTGCTACAATATTGCTTCCACTCATCGAGTCGTTGATGGTGGTCTGTAAGAATACCTCACTCAAAGACTCTGTTCTGGCTCGCCAGATCAGAGAACAGGTACCTGGAAGTCCTGCGCCGGAGGCTATGGATGACCTCCAAGAACTGTTTTTCAACTTCACAACCGAGCATCGGAAGATCCTCAACGATATCATCCGCCAATCTCCCAAGTTGATGCAAGGAAACGGAAGCTTCAGCCTCTTGGTTAAGAACCCCAAAGTCCTCGACTTTGACAACAAGCGAGCCTACTTTACCAAGCAGATTCACTCTAGATTGCACCAGCAACGTCATATTCAACCCCCTCTACAGCTCAACGTCCGCCGCAGCCAAGTGTTTCTCGATTCTTACAAGGCCTTGTACTACAAATCCGCCGAGGAGATGAAATATGGTAAACTCAATATTCGTTTCAACGGCGAAGAAGGCGTTGATGCAGGTGGTGTCACTCGAGAATGGTTTCAAGTTCTTGCTCGAGGCATGTTCAATCCAGATTGGGCCTTGTGGCAACCTGTGGCAGCCGATCGCACCACATTCCACCCTAACCCGCTCAGTTGGATCAATGGTGAACACCTTCTTTACTTCAAATTCATCGGACGCATCATTGGAAAGGCCTTGCACGAGGGCCGTGTTCTTGATTGTCACTTCAGCCGGGCTGTTTATAAGCGACTTCTTGGGAAGGAACCTAATTTGAAAGATCTCGAGTCTATGGATCTTGACTACTACAAGAGTTTGGTGTGGATTCTGGAGAACGACATCACCGACGTCATCACCGAAGACTTCTCTGTGGTTGAAGAGCAATTTGGCGAGGAAAAGATTGTGGACCTTGTTCCGAATGGCCGCAATATCCCCGTGACGGAGGAGAACAAGAGAGAATACGTCAATGCCCAAGTTCGGTATCGCCTCACCACATCAGTAAAGGAGCAGCTTGAGAATTTCGTCAAAGGTTTCCATGATATCATCCCAGCAGAGCTCATCGCCATCTTCGACGAACAGGAACTCGAATTGCTCATCTCTGGATTGCCAGAGATCGATGTGGACGATTGGAGAGCCCATACCGAATACCACAACTACAATGCCAACAGTCCTCAAGTTACATGGTTCTGGCGCATTGTCCGCGGTATGAGCAACGAAGAACGGGCGAAATTGTTACAATTCGTCACTGGCACCAGCAAAGTTCCTCTCAACGGCTTCAAGGACCTTGAAGGCATGCAAGGGAATACGTTGTTCAGTATTCACAAGTAAGTTTGTCACATACCCTGTCAGGCTTTTGCACAGATGCTAACGATACTACCACTATAGGGATCCAAGTCAATCTCGCTTACCGACGAGTCACACTTGTTTCAATCAGCTGGACTTGCCTGCTTACGATGACTATGATACTCTCAAGAACAACTTGATGACGGCAATTGATCTCGGCGCTGATTATTTCGGTTTCGCATGATCGTTCGGAACATGCTCGGTGTGACATGCACAAGGCAAAGACATGCCTGTAACGGATTGTAATGGAGACAGGTTGGGGGAGTGATACGCGAGGAATTTCTGCGGTTTCTTTCTTTTCTTAGAGTGAGCTGTGATGTCTACAGGGCACCATCATAAAGACGTCGCGTCGTTCGGGCTGCTGTGGAGATGCGGACAAAATGGACGGAGAACTTGCGGCGACGACAACGGCTGGATCAACAAGGAGTTTGAACAGCAACTCAGTAATGATCTGGGCTTGGTCTGAGATGTGCAGATCTCAGATGCCCGGTCCAGATCATCTCTAGAGAACCAATGCATAGATAGGTATTAGTTTGGCTGATAAAAAGCATCGTTCAATAACTGCTACTTGGATGTGCCGAATCGATCCATTCGTACATTTGCCCTGGAGGGAGTCAGATCTCGGTTTCTTTTTCAGCTGCATCAGTGCCTCTTGTTTCGATTGTGAACTGCGAAAGGCTCAAGTTCTCCCATAATTGTGTTTTTTTGATCCACAGAAGTCTGTAATGGAGAGTCCGGAATGACTTCCGCACTTGATTGTGTCTGGAACTCCCACGAGGCTGAATGTACGAGGCCATCCTACTCACCAATCATCTTGTGCCCCTCGGATATATTTTGCCAAGATATGACCTTTCCACTTTTGGCAAGCCCACACTTCGAACTTCCACATTTTCGAGTTGCAGATTGATTGCACTTTCCCGTGCCCTACGCTTTCTCCTTCACATCACTCTCTACCTTGTACTTCTTTCAATTCAAGCACCTCTTCCTCAAACGACAAAATGGTAAGCTGAACCATCGTCTCTGCCCTCCGCCGCTATAGCACAACCTGCACATCAAGTTCCACCCTCGTGGATCGGGTGCTGCTCGATGTGTAAAAATTTCCGCCAGAATTTGCGCGGGGACATCGTGAGCGTGTGAAGCAGCCCAGCGTCCTGACCTCTTAACTGATGGCGCGGACAATGGACACACGAGTCTCGCCTGTCCCTTTGCTGCATTCTCGGTGATGACTCCGGCTGGGGAAGGAGAATCTCAGACGCAGCTAGCCACTGCTCTGAGGTTCCCTTCTCCTTAGAGTTGAAAGAAAACTTTTGTGTCAGTCGGAGGACATTTGCTGACGGTTTTCTTTGCTCAATGATAGCCACCAAAGGGGAAGAAACCCGCGCCTGCACCTTTCCCTCAAGGGAAAGCTGGTGCTAGCAAGAAGGCTGCCAAGGTACGTTGCAGATCTCCAGTGTTGTCTTCGGATCTTGTGTCTTTCACGACATTGGATGTGCTCTTCGGGAAGAGCGGATTGAGCTGACTTGCTGACCTGCGCCTCTGTAGAACCCTCTCCTCGAGAGACGTCCACGAAACTTTGGCATCGGTCAAGATGTGCAGCCCAAGCGCAACCTGTCGCGCATGGTCAAGTACGAATTTCCCAAGCGCTCCAGCTACAATTGTAGAAGTGTCTGACATGTTTGTAGATGGCCAGAGTACGTCCGCCTCCAACGCCAGAAGAAGATCTTGAACATGCGCCTCAAGGTGCCACCTGCGATCGCCCAGTTCCAGCACACCCTCGATCGAAATACCGCGGCACAGACCTTCAAGCTACTCAACAAGTACCGTCCTGAAACCAAGGCACAGAAGAAAGAGAGACTGCACCAGGAGGCGACCGCCGTCCAGGAGGGCAAGAAGAAGGAGGACGTGAGCAAGGTGAGCAGCGTTTACAATACCTTCCAAGACCAACAGCATACTCATATCACAGCAGAAACCCTACACAGTCAAATACGGCCTCAACCACGTTGTCGGTCTTATTGAAGCCAAGAAGGCATCCCTCGTGCTGATCCCTAATGATGTGGACCCCATCGAACTTGTCGTCTTCCTCCCTGCCCTCTGCCGGAAGATGGGCATCCCATACGCCATCATCAAGGGCAAGGCTCGCCTTGGCACCGTCGTGCACAAGAAGACTGCCGCCGTGCTGGCTCTGGCCGAGGTCAAGAGCGAGGACAAGTCGGAGCTGTCCAAGTTGGTCAACGCCATCAACGAGGGCTACACCAACAAGTACGAGGAACACAGAAGACACTGGGGTGGTGGAATCATGGGTGTCAAAGCTGTTGCACGGATGGATAAGAAGAGGAAGGCTGTTGAGAGCGCCATCAAGATCTAAGCCCGCTCCAGACATCTCCTTTTCCTCGACTCTTTCTTCCCAGTGACCCACCTCTGGGAGAACGTCGAGGGAAGCTCCTCAAGAAATGAAGGCCCTTTGACGGTTCAAGTGATTGTCATGATCATGTCAATCAGTACGATGGTGGGCCAAGCTTGCCACTGGCCACTCGAGGTGACGAATTACATGTTGGGAGGAGATGGATGCCAACGCCAATGCACGGAACATATCCCTACGGTCTGGTCTGTCACTGCTCAAACGATTATGAACAGGAGCCAGGGAGTTTCAAGCGCAGTGCTCATGGACTCTCCTGCCGGTCAAACTGTGCGTGCATGCCAGTGATTTACGTATCTACTCTCTAATCAGGTGTTCGCTGCATCACCCAGTCGGACAGTTTATGGTCATGGTCATGGTCACGGGTAGTCGGGAACACACACACACCCACCATCACGATCACGATCAAACCAAAAGTCTCATAAAATGAAGAAACATTGAAAACTGCAAATCCTGCCTTGTCCCGTCCTGTCCTGTCCTATCTTATCCTCCACCCATTAATTCCAGAAGTACTTAAGTACCCTTAGTGACCCTTTTACTTTGGTCTATTTCCCCGTCCCTGCTCCTGTCCTGCTGCCCTCTACCAAGGTCAGTTAGTACCTTACCTTACCTGGTGTGCACTTCCATGACCGGCGTACTTGTACTGAGTACTAGGTAGGTAGGTACCATACATTGTCAAAATCAAGGGCACAAGATGCACTCGTCGTGGCTGGGTTATAAGTTTAATTTCTGGTTCAGCTCGATCTTTCCTCTGAGAGACATCCGCACGGCTACATACAATGCCAATTAATCCTGCCTCTACCGAGAGACCTCCAAATTGGCAAGCTGCAGTACAACCCTCTGAAATGAAGACGCCGCTCGTCAACACCTGGGAGAGACTAGCAAAAACTCCTCAGCCGTCCAGAGCATGACAATAAATGCAGACTCTGTACATTACATGAATCGAATTTCCAATGTCAACACCGCCGTGGTCGCGTCATGACCTGCCATCTACATAGGCGTAACACCCAAAAGCCCCAAGGAAAACAATGATGGAAGCGCTCGCTTGCTTCGTCGTCGGTACAGTGCTCCATATCAGCAAAGTCGGTCCACATTCCATTGCGCATGATAGCTATTCAATGCCGTGACAAGCCCTGTCGTGCCTAGGGAGGTACATGTCAGTCACAGGCACATCTCATTCGTCAAATGGGGAGGGGAACTTACCTTCATAGCTTCAATCCTCGCTTTCAACTGGCTCGTCACTTCCGCTGCTCGCTTCCAATTCTCCTCCGGCCTATTTCCAGACTCCCTAGGTCCAGCCCCTGTCGAAAGTCCAGAGTCACTAGCTTCTCTGCTCATAGAGTATGCAGGTGTATACCCGGATCGCTGTGGACTCATCCTTCCACTAGTTCCGTTTGACACCATGGGAGGGCTGATTTTTCTTCTTGTTCCGCCCAATGTGTCGATTCCAAGCCCATTGTTCTCTTTTTCTTCGCTGGGACTGAGATCAAGACGGTTACCATGAGATGTGTATCCACTCTGCGGTCTGGGTTTCGCGCTGCTGGCTTGCGACTGTGCACGACCACTCTGTGTGCTGGCTGAGCTTCCGGTCCGATGTAAAGCAGTGCTGGCAGGTCGTGCTGCATGGACATTTCCGTTCGCCTGGTATCGATTGTTCAACGAAGGGTCTTCGTATATGGCTCCAGCTCCACTGTCGCCGCCAAAGTTGGAGGCTTCGTCTAGTGCACGGCCACGAATCATGTCCTCTCGTTCTCGACCAATACTCTCACGCCCAAGTCGGGACACCTCTCGCTTATACCGCTCGCTTTCTTTCCGGATACTCTCAATCTCTGCTTTCAGAACATCACATTCGCCTCGCGCCCGTACCAGCTGTGTCTCTTTGGCTTTGATCTGCAAAACGTCGCGTGTATGATCCTCGATCAGCTGTGCATTCTGGTTTTGAAGTTCTGATATTTCAGCCGTGAGTTTGGCATTGCTGCTTCGAAGACTGTCATTCAAGCCTGCGAGTCTTTCTTTTTCAGCACGTAGTTCTTCTAGTTCTGCCCGCTCCACTACTGAAAGGGCGTTTGAGGCTGATGTTGTCGACGGAGGCGAAAGTGGAGCGGCAGTCGGTCTGGCCAACGAGCGCCCAGCGAGTCCACCTCGGCCCATGCCAAATTTGGAAGGGGATGGCACTGCTGCTGCTGCTGCTGCTGTCTCTTCGTCGCCATCTGTGCTCACTGGTGGTGAGATGACTCGTCGCTGTGGACTTCCAGCACCAACCGAAAGACCACCAGGAGCAGGTTTCTTGAGCCCACCAAGTTTGAGACCAGCAGGCTGTGCTAGACCTGGTCGAGCAAGTCCGCCTGGTTTAGGAAGCGCTTTGGCCGTAGGTTTGGGTTGTAGAGGTGTGGCGTCCTCGACCAGAGCAGGTGCGGCTACTGGCGCTGGCTTTCTCCCACCAGGTGCGGGTTTCTTCGAACCTCCCACAACTTTCTTACCCACGGCGGAGGTCGCTTTAGCGGGCGCGGGAGCAGGCTTCGGCTTTTCTTTCGCTTTGACTTCGGCAGTCTCAAAGTACTCCTTGATCTTGGATTTTCGGATGTCGTCTAGTCCCTCTAGATAAGGATTCATCGCACGCTCACCGATGATCTTCATGAGTGTTCCAAGAATTTCAGCACCACCGGATCTGATGCTTTCGGTTGACTCTGTTAGGAGCTTCGTGGCTGCGTCGGCAATGCGTTTTTGCTCCTCTTTAGAAGGCACATCTCGGGTAGTCCGCAGGCATCTGACTAGAAATTTGATTGTTTCGCCTTTGACGTTGGGGTTTTTGTTGGGTAGAAACCCCAAAATGTCCTCAAGACAGTCGGTGAGAGAAGTTGCAGCAAAGACGGCGTCCAGCGCAGCTCCCAGAGCATCCGCCACGGTCTGCTTCTTTTCCTTGAATCTCTCCATCATTGGGGACATTATTGTCGATCTGTATCTGGCAAAGGACTTCCTAAGACCCAACGCCAACTTCTCGACACAGTTGGCGGACACCGTCACGACAGCAATGTTGGCATCCTTCATACACTTTGCGAACACACGGACCAGATCATCAAAGGGCGCCTCTTTAATTTTTGTAGTGTTCAGAATAGCAAAGAGCGCATCAAGGGCATCTTTGCGTTCCTTCCACTTTGTCGAGCCTACCATTTCGTGGAAATCGGAGGGAATCTTCGAATAGACGTCGACCGGTTCGGCAAAGTCGAAAGCATTCATTTCGGGTTCCTCTTCCTCTTCGGCCACTTCACCATACTCATCGTCGCCACCGCTGGCTGCTGGAGCTGCTGTCGCCAAAGCGGCTTGCTGTGACCTCGTGAGGCGTTCCTGCTTCGGTGGTGGCTCTTCTTTGACTTTCTCAAACAACTTTTCCAGATCTTGTTGCTGAACCGGTTTCAATTCGCCCCAAAATGTGACCTTGATCGCCTCCTTGAGCCAGCGATACAACTCGACGGCCAGGTTTTGTGCTTCTGCTCTGACATTCTTATCCGCATGACCAAACACCTTGGGTAACACTTTCAAGACAGGTTTGGGTTCGACGATCTTAACGCCGTAGTTGTGGAAGATGGAGGTGAGTGCGTTGAGAGTTGCTGCTATGATCTTTGGTTGCTTGTGGGATAGGGCGGGCAATAGTTCTTCAATCACAGGGTCGGACTTGTCCAGCTCGACGTACAGCAGGATAGCCTCCAGCGCATTTGCTTTGGCCTGAGGCCTCGTGGATGACAATCCCTTCTCGTATAGTGCCTGTAGGGTGAAGTTTCGTGACCGGACGGCAGCTTGTTGACCACCATACTTGAGGAATGCGCACAGTGCAGCCAGTCCATCTTGTTGAGCGGCGACGTTGGAATCGCCCGCAGCAGACTTCCAGAGACTCGGATCTTGTAAAAATGGTCGAAAGGCGGGGTCCGACTCGTCAGGTGTGAGTTCAAACACTTTTACGGCAGCCTCATATCCCCCCTTGCGGGCTTTCCAATTCTTGTGCACGAATCTGTCGACCAAGGGCAGTTGCGAGAAATCTTCCTCTTGCTCAGCCATGGTCGTAGGGGAGAAGATCCGTAACCTTGAGAAGAAGTTGGAGGAATGTTTCTTTCTCTTGGGACGTGCAAGCGGGCTATTTAAGAACATCAGTCACACGGATCCATGCAAAGGCGGCGAAGGGAACAAGTTATTCAGATCAATGTGACTCGGGCGACAGTCACTCACCAAAGTTGTTATTGTTGTTTTGGCGGCATGCGGTCGGTGGTCTTCACAAACGACGGTGCAGTCGCGACTGTGGCGGTGGGGAATTGCGCAACTGCCTGTCAGGAAAATCCAAGATATGCGGCGCGTCGATGGCCTATTTTGAGAGGCGTTTGTCGAGGAGTGACACTGAGAAGTCAGTTATATGCGAGTGGTCGCAGGCGCGCGAAAAAGTGTCATGCGGGAAAAACCATGGTGTTGGCGTTGGTGTTGGAGATGCCGCTGCAGATGGGGTGAAGTTGGCAACACACAGAGTAAACATTGGCTTGTGCCTATGACAACACCACGACCAGGTTGGTTTGCCCTGCACCTCTTCCCTCCCACCATTCTTCACTGCATCTATCTGAATCCTACCACCACGTCTTCGCCCTCGAATGCTTCACTCCTTTACATCACACCGAGCTGCAGTACCGGAGCAGATTTTGATTGTGGCTGCGGTAAACGGTCGATCCTTTTCAAACGCAACGAGATCAACGCAGCCAATTCTTGCCAAAAATCTACTCACCAAGAATTTATTCAGTTGAAGGTGCTGGTCTTATCGTCACATGAACTTCTAGACTTTGGGAGACAATTTGACAAGGGGCTGCAAGCCCAAATACTGCAGCCATGAGCCAGCTCCTGACCTCCCGTCAAGCAGAGGAACTGTAGGGTCTCGCGACGTTCCTTCCACCCACACTTTTGAGGCTGACGCTGCTCCTCCCAGACACAAGTCCATGGTCGCCTACTTGCTCTCCGTTGGCATGACTGAAAGTGCAAATAACCTGCGACGAGAAGCGAACTTGGCCGACACATTTGACGACGTTACCGCTAAAAAGTATGAGACCCTGTTGGAAAAGAAATGGACCTCAGTTGTCCGCCTACAAAAGAAAATTATGGACCTTGAAGCAAAGAACGCCGCTCTTCAACAAGAGATAGAGTCTGCTACACCTCTCTCCTCGAATCGAAAAATCGACCCCCAGACATGGTTGCCCCGCGCCCCTGCCCGGCATACCCTACAAGGCCACCGGGATCCTGTCACCGCTGTTGCATTCCATCCAATCTTCTCCTCACTGGCGTCGGCTTCAGATGATTCCACTATCAAAATCTGGGATTGGGAGCTGGGGGAGCTCGAAAGGACACTAAAAGGTCATACAAAGGCCGTGCTGGATGTCGACTTTGGTGGTCCAAGAGGAGGCACTCTGTTGGCCAGTTGCAGTAGTGATCTCACCATTCGGCTTTGGGACCCAAGCGATGAATACAAGAACATCCGGACGCTACCGGGCCATGACCATTCCATCTCTTCTATTCGGTTTATTCCTTCGGGTGCTGCTGGTGCTCCCCTATCAGGGAACACACTGGTATCCGCCTCAAGAGATAAGACACTCCGGATTTGGGATGTCACAACGGGCTATTGCTTGAAAACGTTAAAGGGGCACTCCGACTGGGTTAGGGCGGTGGTTCCTTCGATCGATGGTAGATGGCTACTCAGTGCTGGAAACGATCAAATACCACGATTGTGGGATGCCACCTCGGGCGAAGTCAAAATCACCTTTTTAGGTCACGAACACGTGGTGGAATGTGTTGCCTTTGCCCCGAGCTCGTCTTACGCCCATCTCTCAAGTATCGCTGGTTACAAAAAGCCACCTCCGGCTAGCAGTAGTGGAGAATTTCTGGCAACAGGAGGAAGGGACAAAATCATCAAGATCTGGGACAATCGGGGAACATGCCATAAGACATTGGTGGGACACGATAACTGGGTACGGGGGCTCGTCTTTCACCCTGGTGGCCGGTATCTGATCTCGATATCTGATGACAAAAGCATTCGATGTTGGGATTTGTCTCAGGAGTGTAAATGTGTCAAAGTCCTGGAGGATGCCCACCAACATTTTATCACCAGTATCCGGTGGGCACCGGATATTCCGATCCAACCAAACATGAACGGGGAGACCAACGGCGTAGGCACCGCTGTTAAGAAGGAGGACAGTGGAGGAGGAGGCAAGATTCGCTGTGTCATTGCCACTGGCTGCGTGGACTGGAATGTCCGAGTCTTCGCTGGGTGAGCATGAGCGTTCAGGTGAAACGTGGGAGTTTCTGGATTGATTGGGAATCGTCTGGCAGCAATGCATCGACGAGAGCGAGCATTGGATGGTTGAACAAAAAAGTTGATGAATAGAATGAGTGTATGAGTACGAGTCACGAAATATACGAAACTCAGCCACTACGCATCCGCAACAACCGCAGGGAAGTTTCGTTTCCGCCTTGGACAAATTCCACCACCTCAACCACAATTTCTCTCTTATATGAATATAGCCAGCTCCTGTTTCTGAGTATTCCCACTCTAGTGCCATGATTATCTGGCTGAGATTGACCCTGGCCACCTCCGAACAACTCGGCCTTCCGTTCCGTCGGTCTTCAGGAGTTGCCGCATAGTGCTGATCGGGGAAAACAACTGGCGGCCTGGAGTTGACGACTGAATGGCTCGTTCATCATTGTCACTATCATCACCATCTAGCAGCCTTGTGCTGCCTGTGGCCATCTCCACTGCCTTTGAGTCAGGAGAGAAACAGTTATTACACTGTTCAGGCTGCATTCGCTGTCTCATCTCTCAATTTCATCTGACTGACGGCGTCGCAGTTGATTGCGGTCTCCAGGGCATTACCCGTGGGCATTCCAGCCGATTGCGATTCAGGCTGACCGAGACTTTCTCTCCCCCATCTCTCAATTACAACGCTAGCTCCTCAAGAAATGATCAGTCGTGACCTGTGCAACGGGCAGTTGAGCATCCCAGCCTTCCTACGTTCCTCAGACCTCCGGATGCTCCACCCTGACGATGGCAGTAATGAACTCATTCTTTGTCTTGTCTACATTCCACTGCTTATTGTTTCGGGTGCACGGTGATTGGTACCGCATTTTGCCGCCTTGCGTTCGCCTGGGAACAAAGCAAACCAAGACAAACTATCCTGTCGCCCGCCTCGCATGCTCGCTCGGCGCTCATCGCCCTGGCTACTGACGATGTATCCCGTCACAGACTCAATACAAGAGACAAAGAGCCACGAAAGAAGGTGAGTTAAGGATGGCGGACACTCGCTTTGATGCTCTACAAAGACTCATGGCTGTCCTCATGTGCCATTCGCGCACTTCCACCCTGAAAAGAATTTGGATGGTCAGAGTACAAAGAATTCCTTTCATTGCGCTATGACTTCGGCTACCAGTGACCATCACCTCCCCAACCTTCCAGCATGGTATCGTTTGCTACCCAAACCGCCTACGGGACATCACCTTGCATTGCGCCGCACTTCATCCCTCGCACAGCATCATTTATTTCGTGATCGGTCTCCCACCAGACATGGTTCTTCCCGCGATGATGCCCTGGCCCATCTGCCTGAGAACTCAAGTTATACTGGTCCCGCCCGTGAAGAGTATATAGAACAGCCCCGGAAAACCGCCAATGGTGATACTGGGTCCAGCTCTCCCTCTCGACGAGGTCGTTCTTTGGAAATGGAGACTCAGCCTCATTCAGCTGCCGGAAGAAAAGGCTCCAGTTCCAGAGAGAGTATTTGCTTGTGTCCTGCGAGTCCCAAGATTCCTAGACCTCGAAACTGTGAGAAGGATTGCCTGCTGTTCGCCATTTGCTATTGAAGGACCACTGACACTGCTACAGCCTTTATTTTATTCCGTCAACATCAGCAATCCAGTATCATAGCGCAGAACCCAGGCATCCCAAATCCGGAAGTATCAAAGATCATTGGCGAACAATGGCGTGGTCTGTCCGCCGAAGCCAAAGAGGAATGGAATCTGCTTGCGGAAGTATGTTGAGATAAAGATGACTGATTATCAACAACACAAAGACCTTTGTTTGTCTAACTTCTCACGTTCTTTAGGAAGAGAAAGCCCGCCATCAACAACAGTATCCCGGTTATCGTTACCATCCACGACGCAACGGCCGGGTCAGCAACCAGTCCTCTCTATCTGGCCCTTCATCTGCCGAACCCCAAGAGCCTTGCCCCAAGTGTGGTGGAAAGCCAATGAACTATTACTCAAACCCAGCCCCTGTATATACACCGCCTGTGTCGACTACACGACAAACGATGGCCGTTACAGTCCCAGCAAAGCGTGGCTACGTCGTCAGTGCTGCACCGCCGGGCTCGAGAGTACACGGACAATCTGCTCTTTCGCCTGAACATGTTACTTTCCAGCGAGTCGACCCTCGACTGGTCTATGCTGTCCCAACCCCCTCTCAAACACTGCCGACTCCCCCGTCCGCAGAGTCCCAGGATGCAAAGAGGCGGCGATTCAATGGCAATGGTGTTTATGTGCCTACTCGTGAAGTTTATCCGGAAGCATCGTACTCTTATGCCATCTCCCCAACCACCAGTGGTTTATACGCACGTCAAGAAGTCATGCAGCACCCCCAACAGATCCCCGTCCAACATGTCCAGATGGCCAAACCGCAGATGGTGTCGCCTCCTCGAGCAGCATACCCTCGACCTCCACAGCTGCAACCTATCCGACCACCTCCACCTCCCCATCAGCGAAATCGATCGAGTGTCGCCTTACCTCCTATCGAGACAATGGTTACACAGACTCCGGTGAAGACGCCGTCTACACAGTCTCAGAGCTCTGGAGTCGAGGCCATGATAATGTCCATCCCAGTGTTGAACAAAATCAAAGTACTCTCTCAGATTTCCGGTCCGTTACCGGCGCCAGGTCTCACCTCACCGAAACCAGACGTTCGAGGAGCCATCATTGCCGTTGAGGGTATGGACGCAGCCAGTGTTGACAGCATGACCAATTCTCTGGCTGAGCAGTTGGAGAAAGAGGGCAAGTTTGCTGTAAGGATATTTGGAGGTCCGGATCCATACTCTGCGATGCGCGCTGCAAAGACCATTCCTGGCGGAGGGAAGAAGGGAGCCATGACAACAGATATGTACCTGGATATAATGAGTCAGTGGCACAAAATCAACAAGGACATGGTCGAGTATATTACTTCAAGGCCCGGGAGTGGTACACAGTCATCCCCTATTAGGCTCGACCACCAAGATGAAGATCACCCCATGACAGAAGCGGAAGATCACCACCAGCCACCCATGTCGTATGAGGCCGGCCTGCATACGAGAACTGCGTCCCAATCATCCACTACGGTACAAGAAAGGAGGAAAGATCACATTGACTCGGCCATCTCACCCAGGACGATCAGCAAAGCTGCAGATATGTCCATCAACTCGCCTTTTGTGAATTCAGTCGCACACAAAGGAAGAAGCCAAAGCACACCCGGTGTGTGGACTGGCAACGAGTTGATTCCAACTGGGTCGGATGCGCGAGCCATGCCGCCGATGCTCACCTTCCCACGTCCTCTCAACTCGAAGCGGATTCCACCTCCACCAGATACACCGCCGCCGTCCACACCTCCGCCTCCGGCCGCCGCATCAAACTCTCGTGAGCTATCGAGAGTTCCCCCTCCTCTTCCAGCATCTTCAGTGCCTCGGCCGACATCTGTACAGCCGCTACCAATCAGAGCCTCCATGTCTACATCTGGTATCAATTCTGGCTTACCCATACCTATTGCGATTGTTCCACATTTCCAGCTCACCACTGTCGACGCAAGCTCCGTCAGTATGCCAATAAGTGACGGCTTCTCCCCACCGGCTCATTGGCAGTGGTTTGCCACACTGTGGCGAGGGAGCGTCGGACCAGACATCACCATCATTATCAGAGGAGTGGATGAAGAGGCCGCTGAAGGGTCGGATGCTGCCAAACAGACACCTATCCAGGGCAACCATGGCAGTGTCGTGGGTGGTGCTCCTGCGAATCCCGGTATTGGAAGGGACAGAATCTCGAGTGTGACTTCATCACAATCCCACAGTGGAGGGGCAGGAGTCGAGATTCGGTTGCAAGACTCTAGGGCTGTGATTGTCAAGACTGGTATAGTGGGACTGAATACTTCGCTGGCATCGGACATGGCAGCTGGCGACGACGCTAGAGGAGCAAACAAGATGACGACGGCGCAACAGGCCAAGGAGATGGAAAACTGGGACAAGGCAAAGAGGAGGGTTGGTTTCGAGGTGGAAGAATTTTTGCGGAGATAAAATCTGCTATACGGAAACCTTATGCTCTCTGAGAGAGACATGGCTTTTGATTAGGGAAGAGGTTGGATGCTTTCATTGCTCATTGTGTGACTCGGGCATTGGTTCCATCATTAGAGACGCAGCGACCAGTCTAGTCTTCTATGTCTTGTATGAATATAAAACCCCATTTTTCTCGAGCTCGCATCACAGCCTAGATCTGACCTCGGGCTTCTTTGTGCCATCCTCGTCGTCCTCGAGCTCCATCAGCAACACCCCTTCAGCGACATCGTCGCCTTCCTCCTCGTTCTCCATCTCAATCACCCATTTCACCTTGCCGGCCCTCGGAGACCTGACTTCTAGTTCCATCTTCATCTGCTTCACGAATGCGATCACCTCGTTTTCGCGCACTTCGTCACCCACATCGACAAGCACCTCGACCAGTTTCCCGCTCATGGGCAATACGATGTGGGTCTTCTTGGTCGGGTCGCCTCGTCGGTGTGTTGAGGCGGTGGCGCCGGCAGAGGAAGTGGTGCTATTCAGGGTCATCTTGTAGGAGTGTGTCCTCGATCCAGGGATGGTGTATGTGATGTCGGCGACGAGAGCGGTGGGGAATTCGTTGCGGGTGACACGCGAGATGGAGAGGTGGTGGGCCGGCGGCTTGATGGACGAGGGTTTGTCAGCGGGATTCTCAAGCAACACGGTCCAGGCGTCGCCTTTTCTGAACAGTGTCGACGCAGCGCCGATGGCTGAGCCTGCGCCGTTGCTCGACAAGGATAAAGCTGGGAGGGATGTGTCAAGTAGTTCCGTGGCCGCAGCGAGTTGCTCCCCAGAGGGGACGAGCCGGTCTAGCTGTTGCTCCAGCCAGCTTGTGTCTGCGTGGCCGGCCGCGAAGGTCGCGTCTGTAAGAATGGCTTTCAGGAGGTTCAGATTCGTTTTGACGCCGATGACCTTGGTCTCTTCCAATGCCCGGCGTGCCTTTGCGACACACTCTCCCCAGGTCGATGCCGTGACAATGATCTTGGCCATCATATTGTCAAAGTCGGATCCCACCACTCCCCCTCGCGATAAGTGGCTGTCGACCCGGATGCCATTGCCAGACGGGAATTGTATGTCGCTGACCTTACCAATACTCAACGAGAAGTTGGACAGGGGATCCTCTGCACAGAGTCGTAACTGGATCGACGCTGCAGGAGGCGCTTTGTCGGCATCCCTCCACTGTCCCAGTCTGGCGTCGGCCTCCGTCTGTAGCCCTTGAGCAAGAAACAGTTGCTGCTTCACTAGGTCGACCCCGGTGATGCATTCGGTGATGGTGTGCTCGACCTGCAGTCGGGGGTTGATCTCCAGGAAGAAAAACTTCATCTGCTGGACGTTGACGAGGTACTCCCAGGTCCCCAGGCCCAAGTATTTCAGCTTTGTGGCCATCCTCACAGCCGAGTCGATGACCTGCGCAATCACCCTCCTGTCCTGGACGGGCGCGGGAGCAACCTCGACGATCTTCTGAAACCTCCGCTGGACGCTGCAGTCTCTTTCCCACAGGTGCTTGACTCCACCTCTTCCGTCGCCGACGATCTGGATCTCAATGTGCTTGTATCCCTCCACGGCCGCTTGTTCGGCAAATACCAAGCGACTCGGTGACTCGGCCACACACCTTTGCACAGCGTTGTCAAGTGAGGCTTCGTCTTTGACGAGTCGAATGCCCCGTCCACCACCACCATCCACAGCCTTGATCATCAGCGGATACCCAACACTGATAGCAAATCTCCTGACATCCTCGACGCTTCCAGTTGGCCTCCCCATAGCCTTGAGGACCGGGACATCGCACTCGGCCGCCAATGCCTTGGCCATCAACTTATCCCCCGTCCTCTCCAGCACCTCCCAGCCAGGTCCGACAACCACGCACCCGGCCTCCACCCACATCCTCCTGGAAAACTCTGCGCTCTCGCTGAGGAATCCATATCCAGGGTGCACAGCGTCAATCTGGTTCTCCTTAACCAACCCAATCAGGTAGTCGATGTTCATATACGACGCTGGGCCGTGAGCGGCTTTGATCGCGTGGTGAGGCCGGCCCAGGGAGATGTGTGTGGTATCATTGTCAGTGTATATTGCAAAGGTTGTGGGAGGCTGTGGCAGCTCATGACATGATTGAAGTATCCGAATTGCAATTTCGCCGCGGTTGGCGATGAGGATGCGTGAGATTGGCCGCTGAGGAGGTGGCATATTTGACTTGTTCACGCGGAAGAAACTGACAAAAAGTGTTTTCCCCTCCACTGACCCAGTCTCTGGAAAAGTTCTACAACATGCTTCAACAGAACAGAAATGAGGCGAGGTACCAGACAAGAGCCCTCGACCCTTAGGCACTTCGCTCCTACAACTCGGATATCCTCAAGCAGCGTCTCTCTCCTGACTCCAACATCCGCGAACCTCAGCCGAGGCTTTTCTCCGGATTCATCGAGTTTGTGGGGGAAGAAACCGACGATTAGCCATGGCGTCAGACTCCGACAAACGTCACACCTCACTATCTATTACCTAGGCACTTTTGAAACTGGTAGCCGACATCTGCTGCATACCCTCTGTCGTCTTCTCAGAGGCCTCTTTCTTTCGGCTTTCGGACTGCTGGAATGGGAAAGCAAGAGAAAAAGACAGACAGCCTATAGTGGAAGAGAGAGCATACAACCACACCGTTGACCTGGGGTTGAAGAGGCAAAGGGACGTTTCCCCCTTTCTTTCTTCAAAGTCAAGAAACGGGTTGCTTTCCTTTCGTTCAAGTTGGTGGCCAGGTACACCAGCCGAAGCCAGCAGAAGATATTTCAAGCAGCAAAGAAGTTGGAAGGAAGGGTTTGACACGAGCTTTCAATAGGAACTATGGGCTCGAAAAAGTCCACCCTCTCACCTCCCTCGTCGGGTACCGACGTTGGCTCCAAAGGTCCAGTCTCGTCAACAACCATCAATGATCCAGTCTACGCTCAGCCAGCCAGCGCTCCGACTCAGCCGTCAGTCGCTGGTGGCACTGCAACTGGCGAGAGCACAGGGACAGGGCCGCGGAAAGACGATCCGGTCTATTCGCAGGTCGGTGTGGTTGGAGGCAACCAGGAAGGGCAACCGGCACGTCAAGGCCAGATTAACGATCCAGTTTATGGCCAGCCCCAAGCAGCTTCCTCGACGTCGGATTCCCCTGCACCTGGCCCAGGACAGGGCAAGATCTCTGCCGCCGATGATCCGGTCTATTCTCAATCTCGGGGCGCGAGAGGTGGCACGGTCAGTGACCCTGTCTATGCACAGCCTGTCTCTGCTCTAGCATCGCCAAGTACACCAGTGCAAGGGCTACAAGCCGGTCGTGTCCAGACGCCAGACGACCCGGTCTTCTCTCAATCACAGCCTTTAGGTGCCACAACTACGGCCGCCACTGACCCCGTATACGGCCAGACGCAGACCATTTCGTCTACGGCGCAGAACCCTCCCAGCCGAAGCAATGGAACAGGACAGACACCTCCATCCGACGACCCGGTGTTCTCTCAACCCCAGTCCGGCTCGACAGCCTCAAGCCGCCTCAACCAACTGACATCACAAATCTCACCCGCACCATCTGAACCACAAGCCAACACGAAACGGGCGCGCAAGTCCAAATCCTCAGATCCCTCCTCCGACCTGCCCGCCGACTATAGCGACATCCTGGCCCACCTCAAGACCATGCGCACCATCGCCACGACCCCAGACACCTCCTCCCGCGGGTACATCAGGCAAAAGACGGCAGGGAAGCTGTGGTCGCGCGAACGCATCGCCACGCTACTCGACCCAGACACGTGGCGCGAGGTCGGCTCCGTGACAGGGACAGTCACTTGGGAGAAGGACACGAGAAACCCACAGTCCGAGCACGTCCGTGGTTTCATACCCAGCAACAACCCGCAGGGGTTTGGGCGGGTGACTTGTCCACGGACAGGGATCAAACGGCAGATATACCTGACGTCGGACGACTTTTCGATCCGGTCGGGCCACGCCGACGGGTCGGTGGGCCTCAAGACGCTGTACGGGGAGAAGCTGGCGCTCCGGCTCAAGGTGCCCGTGGTCAAGCTCGTCGACGGGTCCTCGGGCGGCGGGTCGGTGTCGACCATCATGACGCAGGGGTACTCGTACATGCCGCACGTGACGGTGATGTCGACGGTGGTCAAGCAGCTCAACATGGGCATCCCGAACATCGGGGCTGTGGTTGGTCCCGCGATCGGACTGGGCGCGGCGCGCGTTGTGGCGACGCACTTTAGCGTCATGGCCGGCGACATTGGCAGCCTGTTCAACGCGGGACCGAAGGTCGTCGAGGGCGCCACGTTCGAGGAAGGCCTCAGCCTCAGCGACCTGGGCGGACCGGCCGTGCACTGCACCAACGGCACCATCGACAACCTGGCCCGTAACGAGGCCGAGTGCTTCGACCAGATCCGCACCGTGCTCGCCTACCTCCCCGCGTGCGGCCAGTTCCAGGCTCCTCCCACGATTCCCGCCGACGACCCCGTCGACCGCGAAGACCTGGCCCTCCGCTCCATCATCCCCCGCAAAAAGTCGCGCATGTACAACCCCTACACCATCATCCTGTCCGTCATCGACCGCGGCTCGTGGTTCGAGATCGGCGCCCTCTGGGGCCGCACCGGCATCACGGGCCTCGCCCGCTTGGGGGGTCGGCCCGTCGGCATCCTCAGCCTGAACTGCGAGGTCAATTCCGGCGCCCTCGACGCCATGGGCAGCCAGAAGTTGATGAAGATGATCAAGTTCTGCGACGTATTTAATCTGCCCATTGTGCAGTTTGTCGACGTTCGTAAGTTCATGTTTCGCTTTTTATATTCTCTATCCACCATTCGCTATTGTACCTACTAGTCTCTTGTTTATTTATTTTTTTTCTCTCTTTGGTTTGTTTTGGCAAACTGTATATCCATCCTTGTCCATATTGCTTGTGTCTACACATCCAGTCTCTACGTTTCACACTTGTTCTTTCTCGGTAGAAGAAAGTTCCTTCTCCACAGAAATTCGTCATGCGC